TTGTAGGTGTTATGACTGCTAATAGAAGAAATTAATGAAAAGAAGTTACTGATAATGTAAATAAAGTCTTCATTAGTGCTTGGCACATAGCATGTGTTCAATAAATATTATAAATGGTAGATGCCATTTTATTATTTGGGAGTATACATATTTAATGACAAATGGTATCATGTATATACATATTCATAAACATATACACATTTATGTATACAATGGGTATATATAATACAAACACAGAAGTGTCCAACTTTTCTAATTGCCAAAAATAATCTTTGCCCATGAATTAGTTCATTGCTGTCTACTGTTTATTTGTTCTCCCTTTAAGAAAGTTGGAAAAGTGAGAACTACTAGAGGTGTGAAATGGCTCATCTATTTTACTTAATTATTAACCCAGAAGCCTCACCATAATTATTCTAAGCATAGCATTAAAGCTGCTTTGGTAACTGATAAAACACCTAATCAGTGAATTAAAATTGTAAAACATATTGCATGATGCCACCTTTATCACAGAATAGAATGTGAGAATTAGCAGGGGCTTCAGATGGCTTCTAATACAATGCCTTCACAACTGCAGAAACTGGGGCCCAAAGAGGTAAGGCGACTGGGTCAGAGCACACGGTAAGTATCAGGGGTCATTCTGAGGCTGGACTTTTGGCCCCATATCCAGGCTGTGTCCAGTCTCATTATCTGGGCTGCTTGTTCCCCTTCTAAAAACAAGTCTGATTACACTGAGTCTGCATGAAGACACTACAGTTGCAGTTGCCTCCTTGGCCTCTTGTGGGTGATGACCTCGTAAGCCTCTCAAATGCAGCAGAGAGGGATTATGATTCTAAGACTTCATTATGATTGAACTGAAGTGACCCAACAAGTTTCCCCTTACCCTCACCTCTTTTGCTCTGCTCTGCTGTTGTAGACATCTGCAAAAAAACAAAAAACGGGTGCCCAGCAACATCATTTCATTTTAGAATAAAAAAGGGTATTATTTTACTTTTGCTTTCCAAGTGTATTTTTCAAGTCTTTGAAATAGGTCATGGGAGTCTTTGTTATATCCAGACATAGCATTTTTTAGCAAGAATTGGCTATTGGTAAATTCAAGAAATCACTTGTCTCTAATTCTGCTGTTTGGAAAGGGTAGTCCAATTGGATGAATTAGCCTAACACCCTACCGGCAGAACCTAAAATGGGGTAAGAGCTGAAGAACCAAAGGCAGGACTCCTTTTGGGTCTCCTTTTTGTTTGCATTTCCAGCAGTAAGTACAGGCTTGGGACATCATAGGTGCTCAGTAAGGTTTGTTGGCAAATTAATGAAAGAAGCAGCAGACAGAATTTCTGATTCTTCAAACCTTCCATGGGAAGAGAAGAGCACATAGATCTAGGGGCAGGCAGTTTTGCTTTCTCAAACTGGGGACCCTAAACATGATGAACTGGGGGCTGTTTCAGTGGCCAGAAAACCAACCAACCAGGCAAACAAAAACCTAAACACCTTTTCAAACTTTCCATTCACTTCTGGTGGCCACCGCAAAGCCTATTTCCATGTCTGAAGGGGCATCTTTTGAACTTCAGTGGGTGACCCAGGAGTGCACGTCTACTTCCTGCGGAAGGCTATGCTGTTCAGAGATGCCAGCGTACATAGTTTGCTCACCGCACGGCCAGCTGCCCAGCTTCTTGTGGCAACTCACCTCTTTTGGGCACACCTAGGCCAAGGCCCATTTCCAAGTTTCTTGCCATGGTGGGGGTTGTGTATTGTATGGTGTTTTCCTTCAAGAAAAAATTAACACTTGAGTTTGCTTGATGACATTTTAGACAATTTCCTCCTTTATGAAGGAAGGCCTTGCCTCCCTGTCATTAGAATCCCAGCCAGCCTTACTTTGGATTACATTTGTCCATCAAGTGGTAGGAGATGCTTCAGTGTATGCTGTCGAAAACATGGCTCCCCAGATAGCCCTGTGCTGCCAGGCTACTCGGTGCCTGTGGCCCCGTGGCAGGGAAGGGCAGAGCAGCAGAGTGCGTGTGCGTCAGTGCTGCCCAGAGGCTGTGCAGGGCGTGAATCTGTGTATTTCAAGGAAGGAGCGACAGTTGAGAATGGACAAAAGACACAGACAAGGGCACCCTCCCAAAGCCTGCGACTGCACCAGTAACCAAAGCTTTCTTGAAGAAAGCTCAGTCTCGCTCACTTTTAGAGTCAGAAATCGCATCTAAAGACGTGTTTTTGGCATGGGGACACTGAGGGGCCTTTATATCAGTATCAGCAATAATACTTTATGTGACCATATTTCTTCCCACAGACACCAGAAAAGAACAGGACCTGCCTTGTAGGGCCAAAAAGGACACTCTACTTCCCTTCCTATTATTCTTATATAAAACCTCTGGTTTGGAAATACAGAAAGACAGACAGTTTTGTCTCTGCGCCAGGAAGACTGTGCCACATGTTTTTCATGTGATGGCTACATTTCACAGAAGAGATGCTTTTACCTGATTTTTTTCCCGGTGGCATTTAAAAACCCTGCAGTAGACTTCGCCACATTTATTTTTCTTTCCGTCCCCTAGGCACTACTGTGAGTTGGTGAGAGAAAAAAAATATTAACTTCACATAAGCCTGAAGAGAGGTCAGGAACATGTCCAGAATCATATGGTAACTGGGGACTCAGAAGACCTGCTTGGGTGGTTTCTTCATCAGCTGGAAGGTTGGCTATTTAAACAGCAGGAGATGTTTATTCACTTTGGAAGTGTCTCACATTGTGTTTCTAAATGGCTAACGTTTAGATTAAGGGGCAATCATTTAGATTTTACTCACTACCCCAATGCAACCAAGTAAAAATAAAAATATATTCAAAAAAGTTTGTAGAAAATTTATCTCATGATAAATCAATACTTGGTTATTATTAAGCTAGAAAAATCTATTTGAAAGATACCTCAAGCTTTTCAAATTGATTTCATGGAGTAGGTCTCTGCCCTCATGACCATTTCCCCCTCCCCACCAGCACAGCCACTGTGAGAAAAAAAGCTGGAGGGTGTCAAGACCAACATCGAAGCCCACTTGACATCTTGAACATTTTCTTGTTTGGGTGAAAGCTGACTTTCCAAATACTTGGGTGACACTTTTTCTGTCTTTATCACGATGCTTGTACTGTGGACAAAGCGTCAGAGAATTGAGGGTTTGTTAATCAACTCATGGCAACTACTGATTCTAAATAAAAAGTTTGTTCTTTTTATGTTCAGCTGTGGTTGAAATTCATATTTTCTTTGTATCAATAAAATAATCTTCCTCCTCGCCCTGGCTGGTGTGGCTCAGTGGATTGAGCATGGGCCTGTGAAGCAAAGGGTCACTGGTTTGATTCCCAGTCAGGGCACATGCCTGGGTTGCAGGCCAGGTCCCCAGTGGGGGACACATGAGAGGCAACCACATATTGATGTTTCCCTCCCACTCTTTCTCCTTCCCATCCCCTCTCTCTAAAAATGAATAAATAAAATAAAATAATAATCTTTCCCCTCCTTTACCCTTTGCAGGTTAAACAATTCTAGTTCCCTTAACTATCTGATCTGTTTCTGGCTCCCCTCCTTGAGTCTAAAGTAAAAAGACACCCAAGTTATGGGGTATGTTCCAGGTATTCCTATCACTAAGTCAGTTCGGTGGGGGGAAGTATCAATTAAAACAAAAAGTAGATTTCTTACCATTATTACTATGGCTTTGCATAGGCCCAGGCTCAAAATTTTCACCCTTATGCCACCTCCCATCTCAACCCCCTGGGGGTGGGGAAAGAAGTAGAAAGGAATGGAGCATGTTATTTCTTTTTTCCTAAGTAAACTTGGGTTCTGATTACATTGTGTGTCAACATCACGAGGTCTCAATTCTTATCCTATGAGAATAGCCAGATCTTACGGTTTTAAAAGTCCAGCTGCTCTTATGGGTAGGTCTATCAGTTAAGTGTAGGCCACTTTCAAAGGTTGTCCATGTACACATTCTGCAGTTAAGTTCCGATGTGGCAGTTTAAACTTCTGCTCAGCACAGCATCTTGCCCACTTGTTAGCTTCAGTGTCCATGATCCAACTGTAGAAGGGTGCAGCCAGTGGGCCCCCAAAAGAAGTGTAACAGGGCACAGCCAAGAGGGGGGTCCCAGAAAAGGATTTGGGATGGGGTCCAGAGCTCAGGGTGTCCAAAAAAAATTAAGATGTCCTTCTCCCCCTCCCCAGGTGTCAGTTGGGGGAAGGCACAAATGGAGCAAGGCCACTGAGAGTTGTTTCGCACAGCAACAGTTTTGCAGCTAACCTCTGGAATGATCATTTAACATATCTTTAACTTGTTTCATAGATATGTTAAATAGCTGTGGCCAAGTTTTGAGCCAGAGAGAAGGGAGTGGCTTCTACCCAGGATGTAACTGGGGGGCAGGTCCCCTGAGTTATAGTGCCTGCGTGAGAGCTTGGAGTTGATTGGCTCCACGCCATGGGGCCATACCTGCCCAGACTAATGATGGCAGCCCAGTAAACTTGGGAGTCCTGGAAAGTGTCACTGATTGTAGGAGGAGTTGGAAATGGGGCTGCAAAGGAGGATGGGTGCAGAGATTTAAATCCAGATGCGGCAGCCATTGAAAGGGGGAGCCACACGGTTTCAGCAAAGTGAGGGTCCCCTCTTGGCCAGGTGAGGGGAGAGCCATGCAGTTTTGAGCAGAGTGAGGACCCCCTCTTGGCGAGGTAAAAGAAGGAGCCACGTGGTTTTGGCAGAGTGCAGACCCCCTCTTTCCCAGGTGAAAGGGGAAACCATGCAGCTTTGCCAGAATGGAGATCCCTGTGACCAGATGAAGAAGAAAGACACATGCTTTTGGTGGAGTGCGGACCCCTGCAGCTTTGGTAGAAGAGGCCCACACGGCTTTGGGGTGCTCCCTTTGACTGCATGGCCTGGGAAGCAGGAGATACTTTGCCTGGAACTTGGTACAAAGAACTCTTTGCCAGTGGACCGTGAGAAGGTGCCACATGACTTTGGATTAACTGGAGATCCTGCCTGGACTGCAACACAGCTGACGATACCAGCAGCCTGGAAAAACGGACGTGTGCTCTTTTCCTGATTTACGGTACCCGGAGCTGGGACAGTGGGAGAAGGGAGAGAGGTGGGGGTGGGGGGGGGGGTGTGTGTGTGTGTGTGTGTGTGTGTGTGTGTGTACCCTAAAGGACTTTGATATTTTAGTGGAGGTGTTAGGCCTGAATAGCATTACATAAACATTTCATTTCCTTTTCACAAATCTCTGGCATTGAGAGAGGTCTTTCCAATTGGTGGTGGACAGAAGAGCCCAGTAGATACTAGTATTCCATCCTTGGGAGGGGCCCCTGTTGTTCTGTAGCAGTTTCTGGCATCCCTAGGTGGGCCAAGTATTGCCCCCCACCCTTGGACCTCTGTTTGGTAACAGGATTTGTAATGGGGTCAGAACTCAGGGTGTCCAGGAAATACTAAAAATATGGCATGTCCTTGCTCCCCACAAGTCTGAGCTGGAGGGATGGGATACATGGAGCAGGGCCACTGAGTTGTTTTGCATAGCAATAGTTTCATAGATAACCTCTAGAATGGTCATTTAACATATCGATAACCTTTAACTGGTTTCACAGATATGTTAAATAGCTGTGGACCTGCTTGGAGCCAGGGAGAAGGGAGTGGCTTCCAACCAAGATGTAACTGGGAGGCGACTCCCAGCCTGAGTTACAGCACCGGCATGAGAGCTTGGAGATGATTGGCTCCACGGCATGAGGCCACGCCTGCCCAGACTCACTATGGCAGCCCAGTAAAGCTGGAAGGATACGGGAGTCCTGGCAAGTGTAGCTGATTGTGGGAGTCAGAAATGGGGCTGCAGAGGAAGACTGGCACGAGGACTTAAACAGAGGTGGCAGCCATTGAAGAGAGAACTACACACTTTTGGCCAGAATGGGGATTCCTGCAGCCCTGTGAGAGAAAATCACCATGTAGCTTTAGCAAAGAGAACCTCGAGGCTTTGGCCAGAGTGGGGGGCCCCTCCCCCGCAGCCATGAGAATCACCATCATGCAGCTTTGACAGAGAACTGCCACAGGGCTTTAGCAAAGAATCACCATGCGGCTTTCTATTTCTTTTCCTGAGATACGGTAGCTTGGACTGGGCAAAGGGGGAGAGAAGGACTGTGTGTGTGTGGGTGTTTGAAGGGACTTTGGAATTTTGATGAAGACATTAAGTCATTACTCTTAAGTCTGTATCACTTGAATAAATAATTGCTTTCCTTTTTACCAGTCTCTAACATGGAGAGCTATAATTCTCTGGTGAAGGGAAAGGCAAACCTAGTACAGGGGGACCCCAGGAGAAGCGGGGGTCAACTAGGTAACATTGTGGGACCCCTTCCCTGGCAGCCAATCCAGGAAAAGCATGGGAGACCACATATGCAGTAGCTTTACAACTACTTGTCACAGTAAAAGCCTGCCAAAACTAGCCAGGAAGGATCTACCCTATAAGAATAGAGTCCCTCCAGCCCATGAGGTCAATCTCTGCTTGGAGTTGGCCTGCTCCCATGTTCTTGGCTATAAACTCTGGGTGTTTGGTTCAATTCTTTGTCCTGATCACCAAGAACCTGGTTACCTGTGCCCACCTGTGATTATTAATTTAATATTAATAACCACATTTAATTCTACTTGTATATTTACCAGCTGTCTGCTTAAAAACTGATATGTCTTCTACAAAGAGTATCATAGGACCAAGTGAAATACTTGGTGTTTTGTTTCCCAAACACTGGGTCTGTTAACCCAGTTCATTTTTCTTAACAGGAAATCAAATGGACTTGGGAAATGATAAAAAGTATGCTATTAGGAACCAAAGATGATGACAACAAGTAGAGGTCAAATATACAAATATACCCATGCAGAGTGAAAGAAATAATACATTTTGAGGCATTCTCACAAAAAAGTTACCTTTTTAAAGAAGAAATTAAATTATATTTCTTTACCAGAATTTTCAGATATAATCCACTTTGTAGAATATTTGGAATACTGAATTCCCTTCTCATTCTTATTATCAAATTAAGACTTCTAATATTTCTCTAGAATGAGTATTATGTCCAGAAAAATACAAAGAGCTCAATAATGCAACAAAATATACCTGAAAAGCACATATTTAAAGATAAGATTATCTTTTACTGTTAAATTATTTAAAGTAGTACTCAAAGTAACTTATGAATGCAAAGTAGTCACAGTTATTTTATATGTGACATAACAGCTAAGAAGCTGAAAAAGAAAAGCAATGGGATAACAGAACAAAACAAATGAGAGCAGAGTCACAACGTCTATCGAGCCTAATATTCTGTAAGAAGAAAATATATATACAAGTTGCGCTTGTAAAAGCCTGTTGTGGAAACTTATGGCTTTTGGAAATGAGTGGTTAACCTTGGATAAAGCCTAAAGGAGATGCGGACATTTTGTTCCCAAATGCTTCTGCGTAACAGCAGAGCACTCAGTCACAGACAGAATCGCCACTGAGTGAGGGTTATGCAGACCAGGGTTGGGAAAGAAGAAACCTGGCAGGGAACTGAGGTAGGAGTCAGAGCAAACAAGATTGCAGCAAATGGCAAATGTCAGGGTACAGATAACGATCGAATACACAGGAATTCAATACAGGCTGTTTATGTGGCCTTTCTTCCCTGACTAGAATAGAAGTTCCACGTGGGCAGGGATTTTTAATTTGGTCACTGCCATACCCCCAGCTTCTGGAACAGTGCCTGGCTCACAGAAGTTGCTCCATAAATATCTGATGGGTAAAAGAACATAATCTAAGTTTCGAAAGACAAATTTGTTGAAAGCAATTAAGTTCCACAACTATCAAATGAACACCTAAGCATGCTATGCCAAGTGCCTACATGTAACATGGAAATAACTTCTATCAGACTGCAATGTGACATGAGAATTAAATGGTAAAATGTCAAGCCCCAAGGCTCCATTTTGGATTTCCTGAGTCAAAATCCTGCTGAGAAACCCAAAATGTGGCCTTTTAAACAGGTATCCAGGTAAATCTCCTACATATCAAAATTTGGATTCTCTAAGGAGGGCTTTGTAGATAAGTAAAAAGATGTAATACAGAACTCTCTCTCAAGTACATCAGTAAGTAAAATCTCAAGGGTGAGGGAAGCTAATATGTAGGGTGATAACTATGGGCCAGGGACTGTTAAAGATGCTTTCACACATAATAATTTAATATTCAGTAATCCAAGGAAGTAGATTTATTATATCTATTTTTAAGGAAACAAGTTCCAGGACAGTAACAAACTTGCCTAACCTTGCATAGCAAGGACCTACAGAGAGTACAAGCCAGGTTTAAGTCCTGAGGCCACGTGCTCCAGGATAGAGACATTCCATGGCACCTGTGTTCAGGAAACATACATAGAGTCGGTTTCTGATTAGTTGAGTCTGTCAAGATGAATTTGTGGAAGTCGGGATTTTAATTACGGGTGTTTAGCCTTAGACCTAGAATATCTAAATCACCTATCACTTTAATAATCATAATTTTAAAAAAAGGAGAATGCTGGGTAATATGGTTTGTTTAGGGCAGAACTAGAAAACTCAGGTGCACAGGGTGGGGAAGAGGGGACAACAGGAGGTACAGTCACATCTAACACTGGGGCTCTGCTCTGGCAGGGCAGGTGCTCAGGTCTCATATTTCAAAGGAAGTCAAAAGCCCACCTTACTGTATGAAACGCCCTGATTTTTAAATATAGATAACTAATTCAAATGTTTCAAAACACACCTTGAAGGTCTAACAGGTCTGGAAAACCAGGACAGGCTGATGGGCTCCCAACTGCAACTTCTGGTCTGGACGATGCAAACCCCAGGAGTACAGCTGCACAGATTAACTGTGATGTTGTTTAGTGAAAATGGTGCAGACCAGAGGTGTATGTCTGCATTCTACACACACGAAGACAGAGACTGACTGTCACTACTGCTGATTTCATTTGATAAAATACATGTCATCTTTTGATATTCTACAGATGTATCAGATGTGGCCTGAAGGCCAAATTTGTGTAAACTGAACTGGGCGTTTCTAGTAACTCAGCATTGCAGGGTTCCCCCCTCATTTGGGTTTCAATCTTCAATTGGCATTGAAGATCAACTAAAATTTTATGATTCTAGGGGTTTCAGCTCCTTTTAAAGGTAAATGGTGTAAACTCTGGGGGAAGAACTTCAGTTCTAGGAAGCAGTCCATACTGCTTTATAATAAAACGCATTTGGAACTTCCTAACTGGGACTTCTTGCTATTAAAGAGTTCAGGCAGCTCTGTTTCCAAGCAGAACTTCTCTCTCACACACAAAAAGACCTGATATACTACATGATATGACAGACGTGCTAGAACTAGCCTGTGAGGTTATTTTTTAACATTACACGGTCTAAATAATTTTCCATTCTTCTAGTATTGGCACTGCTTTAGGGGACATTATCATGTCTACCTGTCATGGCAAGGTTAAAACGACCCCTCTCCCTCTGTGTCTTTATTTCTGCAACGTGTACACATTTACTTAATGTTATCCAGAGGGGCGATGTTAACCGACCAAAGCAGACGTCATCATTAAGTCAAGTTCCTACAATGCACCCTCCCAAGTCTGGCGTTGCTGAACACAGTATAGACGCATCAGCACCAGTGTGGACGGACTAAAAAGGCACTTACAAGGATGGGCTGCCAGGATTCCTTGTCTCAAGCCCCGACCAAAAGCCTCCAGGAAGTGAAGCCGGAAAGTTCTAATCTCATTTTCACGCCTCTGTGTTTTTTATTGTAGTTTTCCACTGTAAGACGAAAAAGCATCAAAGGAGTCGAGCGGACTTTTCAGAAGAAAAGCCTTCTCTCTCCTGGAAGCGTGGCGGAGCCGAGTACCCGGAACAGCGTCCCCCGCGCGCTGCCGCCCCCTCCCGGGGCAGAGTGCCGCCGGCCAAGGCGACGGGCGGACGCTTTTTTTGGTTGATTGTTTTAGGAAAGCTCCTGGCGGAGGTAAATCCTGGGCTTCAAAGAAACTAAAGAACTTAAAGATGTTGCTTATCACGCGCGCAACCTCCCAAGAGTCTTCTCTGCCCCCGAGCAGGGGTCGTAATCGCCACCAGGTCCTCCTGAAGCCCTTGGGGCTCTGAGCCCTCCTTCTTTTACTACTTATTCCCCCCACTTCTCCGTACCCTCCAACGGCCTTCCTCTTTCTCCCACTTCACTCCTCCCCCAGTCTCCCATCCTTTCCTTCACCACCCCCCTCCTCTCCCTGCCATTTCCTCCGGCCCGGCTTTCTCCTCCCCCACCGCCTCCTGCCTCCCTTCCCCCACTTCTCCCTCTCCCACCCCCGTCTCCCACCTCCTCCTTCCCTCATTCATCCTTCACCTTTCGGTCTCCTCCTGTCCCCACTTTCTCCTTTCCTACTTCCCACCTCCTTTACTCCACTTCTCCCGCCGCCCAGCTCCCCCATCTCCGCCGGTCTCCTACTTCCTTCTCCCTCACTTCTCCCCATCTTCTCATCCTGCCTTCTCCTCCTGGCCCCACTCCTTCCTTTCGCTACTTAAGGCCTTTAATAACCTCGGCCACCTCTCCTGACCCCCTGGGCTACGGGCAGCTCCCTCCCTCGATGCTGTACACGGATTTGGGCTCACTGTGGCTGCAAGGCCCTGGGTCAAGAATTTAGATGAGAAAGTTTGCCGGCAGCCCATTGGCCGCTACGCTGCAGCCGGGCCTCCATACTCCCCTCCAGTCAGCTTGCGTCCGGGAGGCCAGCTTTATACAAGGGCTGGTGGTTCCCACCCAGGGCCAGCGGTCTCAGAGAGCTCGAAAAGGAACTGCGAGGGGGGTTGGGGAGGAGGAGAGGGAAGGGCGGGGGAGGGAGGTTAGAGCTTCGTGCTGCGCAGGCGCAGGTTTGGGTGCCGAGCAGGGGAGGTAGGTGTTAAGAGCTGGACAGCAGAGCCCTGGGTAAGGAAGTGTGTTGTATTTTTGTTGCCAGACATGATGGCCACTTCAAACTCAGTGGATCCAGCACTACAGCCTGAGAGCACAGTGCCTGCTTTCCCAGCAGACAGGCCCAATAAGTAGCAGGTACCTGATTTAAAAAACAAAAAACCTATATGCCGTTGTGCTAAGAACTTTGCCAAATGTGTTGCATTTAATCCTTGTAATGAGCAGGAGAGCCTTTTATTCTCGTTTTACACATGTGGACACTGAGGCATGAGCAACCTAAGTGACTTGGCAGTGACTGTACACTTTTTAGTGGCCCACCCAGGACTCAAACCTGCATCTGCCTGGCTCCAAAGCCCACATTGTAATTAGTATTGCTTGTGTGAAATAAAATGGTTTACCTTCCGCAATGATGAAACTGACATCTTGTATGGAAGATAGGCAGGTTAGGTTGTCTGAACCCCGAGAAAGGGAGGGAAAAGACACCTACTAAGAAAGGCTTCTTGTGGCTAATGGAACTCAAATAAAAAGCGGAACTTAACTCGCTGGGTGGTTCAGTTGGATGGAGTGTCCTCCTGCGCAAGCAAAAAAGGTTGTGTGTTTGATTCCGATCAGGGAACAATGGGTTAGCCAAAAAGTTCGTATATTTTTTTAACTTTTTTTGTATGCTGGCTATAATAATGCTTTGTTGTCTTTAACTCCATTCAAAACAATTTTGTTAGATTGTAGTGTGACAGCATGCATTTAGAAAAACTTGACAAAATTGGTGAATTTTTGTGCAACCATTTTAATATTGAAGATAGAAGAAGATATATAACATTTTCAGCATGTTATGCTTGATTATTTCAAGAGAGGTAAAAACTGAAATGCAAAAAAAATTGTGCAACTTAGGCTGGCGTGGCTCAGTGGATTGAATACCAGCCTGTTGACCGAAAGGTTGCTGGTTCAATTCCCAGTCGGGGAACATGCCTGGGTTGTAGGCTGGGTGCCCAGTTGGGGGTATGTGAGAGGCAACTGATTTATGTTTTTCTCCTCTTCTTCCTTTCTTCTCCCTATAAAAAATTATAATAAATAAAATCTACCAAAAGTGCAGTATGGAGAAGGTACTGTGACTGACTGAACATGTCAAAAGAAGTTTGTGAAGTTTCTTGGTGCTATTGACATTTTTGCCAAATAATTCTTTGCTGTGGGGCTGGTTTATCATTGGAAGATGTTGAGCACACCCTGGCCTCTACTGACTAGAAGTCAATAGTGGGAGAGAGCCGACATAGTCAAAATATCCAGACCAATAAAGTTGTTGGTGAAAATGAAAAACATATCTTTTATTTTACAGGAAAAAATATATGAACTATTTGGCCAATCCAGTAGTAGGTTGCAGGTATGATACCCAGTTGGGACATGTATAGGAGGCAATGGATGGATGTTTCTCTCTCACAGCAGTGTCTCTGTCTCTGGCTCTCTCTCTGCTCCCCGCTTCCTTTCTCTCTAAAATCAGTGATCATATCCTTAGGTGAGCATTAAAAAAAAAGTTATTAAAAAAAAAAAAGCAGAGCCTAGCAAGCAACTCTACACAGGGGCCTCTTATGCAGACTGCACTTCACAGTTGCACTAAAAACACTTGCCTTGTATTGTGTTTCTGCCCCCTGAAACAACCCTTATAAAGGAGTTCTTGGAGTCTTATTTCAACCAATCAGACCAAACGCTTTCCTCAATCAGAGCTGCGCAACACTAACCAATCAGGACAGTATCTTTTGGACCAGTCAAACCGTAAGGATTTGGAGTCTTCATTTGCAAGTGCACTTAGTGGGTGACTCCTTTCCATATAAGGCAGTTTCCCTCTGGCTTAAAGAGAACACTTTCTTGTGAAGACAGAAGGTTGACTCTCCTTTCCTGAGCTGAAATACCAATCAGTCTCTTGCTAGAGCATACCAACTCAGAGCAGAGCAGAGCTGTCTAGCCAGGGAGGTGCCTGGCCCCAGGGCTGCATTGCCACTGTGATGTTTTCACAGCCGTGATAGCCACGAGCTGTTCTACAGCATGTACAGTATCACAATTGAGCTATTTTGCACTGAATAAAGTTTTCTTCCCTGTGCCCCAAATTCGGTATTCCTGTTGGATTGAATTGGTGCCAGCGACCATGAGTTGACTGTTTGCAGGTAGGGAGATGCTCAAAGTTCTACACTTGTATCTCACTTGACTATCTCTAGGACAAATCAGCACATCTCTACCTTTCAGGATGTAACATCCTGAGGCTTTTCATTAGCAGGAGCCTGAATCCTGCTAATGAAGAGTTCCCAGATGGGAACTAAGGAGCTATTGTTTCTATTAACCAAAGTCTCCTGTGGTTCCTTAGGGAAATAAATCCCCAGAGCCCTAGGTTGGTAACCCTGTGCAAAATTACTGGTCTATTCAATAGGATTTTTAAAATTTTTTTATTTTATTGATTATGCCATTCAAGGTTAGACCATCTCCACCTATGCCTCCATCTTGGCGGAAGTCTATTCAATAGGATTTTTAAAAGTTTCCTCAAATTCCCATCCTGCTACAAAGGAATATACAGTTGTGAGGAGGCAACAAGGCAAGTTAAACTTGAAGATTTAGTAGGACCCTTGCAACAAACCCAGAAATCTCTGTTAGACTATGAAGAAAATTGGGGAAAAACTGGGATCCTTGGTTCCTATGGTATTTTGTAAGGTGTTCACTCTGGAGACTAAGGAGATGGGTGGTCTGTGGTGATGGCGATGAGACTTCGGTTCAGCATGGATGTGCCTTCCTTTCCTGTTTATTCCCAGAGATTATAAAAGCACACCTGGTGCTGTTGGGCTTCTCCAATAGTTGTTGTTTTTTTCTCTGAAGGTTTCAAGACACCACTAAGGATGTTTTTGCTTAGTAGCTATTTTTACTACCACTTTACATCTACACTCCTAAGTCACGAGAACACACCCTAGTCCTCACCCAAAAATGAAATGAAGATTTGATAAGCCAAGCCTTCTAAGAGAGGCAATGGGAAGCCTGGTCCTCAAATACAATGTCGTACACATGTTCCAACAGTGCAGATGCCCTAGTGTTTAAGACACTGTGTGTGGGTAATACCTCAGGGTGCTGTCTGAGAGTTCATTTATTTCTAAACTTTGTACAGCTGCTCTGTTGAAAAATCCCCCACAGGAGCACCAGGAAGTTACCCTGCTGGCTATTATTACTCCAGTTTTGTAGGTGAAGAGCCAAAACCACCAAAAATAGCTTATAATGACCTGACACCCAAACCTTGTGGGTGGGTGAGGTAGCAGGCCTGTGGCTCCTTGGGTGGACAAGCAAGTGGAGAAGAAAACAGATCCCCTACCATGGAAGGGGACTCGGGTTCCAGGCAGCCTCTCCATGCAGAATTGGGCCATTTTTTCCAGGGTGGCCAACTTTCTGGAGAATCCTGTTATCATGACAGCCTGATGGTAGTAGCCGAAGCCCAGGCTGCCTCTTCCTTCAGGTACCTAAATCAGGCTTTCCTTGTGAGCATGAGGAGTCCTGGTCGCTGGCCAGACAGTGTCCTTCCTCCTGTAAGCCACCCTAAAGAGGGAAAGGGAATCATGTTATTCCACACAAGCACAGACACTGCAGTGTCTGAAGCTGACAACCCACCTGCCTCCCCTAACAAGTACAATGGCTCAGAGTAGGTCCCTCATCTGGCCCTTGGAACTCTCTGCTGTTTGCAGGCTGCCCTGTCTGCCACTGCCACCCACCACGCCCCTGACCTTTTCCTGAGGCACAGTGGGCAATACAGGTTTTGGCCTTCTGACCACCCACCCACGAAGACACTGTGTGGGTCTCAGGTATGGTGCTGGGGCCAGGCACCCTCAAGCTTTGGATGTGGCAGAACGGTGAAGGAGGCACTCAGGCCTTTCAGCACCTTTTAAATCTTCCCAGGCAGAGCCACTTCCTCACACTCAGGCTGCCACTGGCTCTGTCACCAGAGATGAAACCCAAGTCATAAAATCAGATGAAGTTCTGTGTAAACCTTGCCAGCTCACAAAGCTAGAAAGTTGAAGACAAAAGTTCTACCCCCTCACTTTGCAGCTGTAAAGACTGAGGGGGGGTGTGCTGATGACCTGACTTGTCACACAGCTGCTCTGTGGCAGGAGTCGCACCAGCCTCCCCAGGGCTGTGGCATTACCTCCTTGCTGTCCCCCTTGTCTACAGCACTACAGCATCTTTTGACTTCAAAAAACAGCTAGAAGAAATTAGTCCTCCAGCCTCTTCATCTCCGTGTTCCTAGCTGATTAAAACTGGCACTTTTGAGAGTGAGTGGCCCCACCAGTCACAGAGGGCCAGTACTGTGGGGAGTGCTGATTCGGAGGAGTGGAAAACAGGCAGGTGACTGAAGGCATAATTGCCAGCCTCCGCCTCAGGCACCTGGGGACATCTATCATTCAAGTCTTTGGGTTTGTGCCCTAGGTAAATACCAACCCACAGAAAGAGTCTGAGTTAACTCTAGTCACCTGATTGTTGGCCCTCCGGGAGGGAAAGCTGGAGGAAATGCCATTTCATCAGCTCATTGGCTTGGGATGAGATGCTGTTTGGGCCCCACAGAAGCCTTCACAGTGTCAGTAATGCAAATTCAGGACCTACAGTATGATCCTGGGCCTTTCAGGGACTGCTGAAAAAGCAGAGATGGTTCTGGCCTTGTCTTTGCCCTTAGTTAAGACCCTTTGGTTATAGATAATCAACTTGAGCTTGAGAGAATGATGTGTGTAAAGCAGTATCTCATGAGGCTCAGGGACAGATGGCTACTGGGACCCCAGGCAGGACTCCTCCTCCAGCTTGGTTTCATGTGTCTCTCAGCCACCAACTTTGCCTCCTTCTTCTCTATGATCCTCAAAAACTACCACCGTTCCCTGTCTGACCCTGGCGACTGGCCATGCTCAGGCCAATACCAAATTCCGGGGGGAGATATTTTTCCCAATGCTCAGGACAGTTTTTGAACTCATCAACTTTGGTATCTTTTAGTGCTTCTGCTGTTTTTTTGTGTCACCTCTTCACATCAGCGAAATGTTTCCCTTTGAGGACTTTTTTCATTGGGGAAACAAACACAAAAAAGTCACTTGGGGCAAGATTGGGTGAATAGGGAGGGTGGGGCACAGGGGTCATGCTGGTTTTGGTTAAAAACTACTGAACACTCAGTGAGGTGTGGGCAGGTGTGCTTGTATGTGACCCATCATGAAATAGACAAACGCGTTGAAAGAGTCTTCAAAAAGAATTCACTGAACCTGAATGCAGCCTCTCACAACACCACCAGCTGGCATATGGATACAGGTGGGTTCCTAGAGTGCTTGCTTAGTAGGGGGAGTCAGTACTACAAGGGGCCTGCCCTCCAGAAGACAATTCCATTTTGGGGGGTCCCCCCTCATATATATATAGGTAGACATGAAATATATTTATATGTGAATATAGATAGATATAGATCTATAAAAATATAACTAAAAACTGTTAACACTAAAAAAATAAGTAAAATAAAAACCAAGGAAAAACAGGTAGCCATTGAGCAGAGTGACAAAAGATGGCTGAGCTCTAATTCCAAGCCTGGACCGATTGTTAAACTTCACTCTGAGCTTTAATATTAAAGGCAAAGAAAAAAAATATTATGAATGAAATAGCTATTATTTATTTTTAAAGTATAAATACAATCCAGGGGCTCCTGGGGTCATCGCAACTAGTTTACGAAGGGACTCTCTCTCAGGACCCTTCTGTCATGAGGGTACAGTGGTGTCTCTAGAGGCTCCATGGCATGTCACATGACCATAGATTGAATGCAGAAGCAGATATGAGAATCCATGTGACCTATACTAAGCCAGACAATCAAGAGATTTGCAAAAATTTTAAATAATGTCATTCTCCTCACCACTGTTGATTTGGAAAATATATTTTTACAAACCAATAATTATGTTGATATATTATGGATTTATTGCTGTTATTTCAAATCAATTAATAAACATTTAAATTCTCGTTTTAATTTCTAATGTGGTAAGTATTTATAAATATATCCTATATAAGAAAAAAACTCTTTGGGGTTCTCAACAATTTCTAAAAGCATAAAGGGGTCTCGAGACCAAAATATTTGAGAACTGCTGATCAAGAATATTAATATTATTTATGCATCTGAGATGGTGACTTTTGCCCCAAAAGTTCCTCTCTAGAAGGCAGTGTTTACCTCTACATTCGACCCTATATGAAACTAAAGTTGTCAGGAATGGATGAGGTATCATTTTGTATGCATATATTCACTTATTCCTCATTGTATCTGTTCCAGAAATACTCACTGAGCACCTGTTATACATATCCCAGGTATTATGCCAACTCTGTGAGTCTAATGAGGGGCAGGACAGACTGATCCCTGTCCCCATGGAGGCTGTGGTGTGGTTCCCCAAGGAGGAACAATGAGGACTTGAAAATAATTCAGAGTCCGTGTAAAACTAGATGGAAACCTCTTTTGTTTACAAGCTACCAGTTACAAAAAAATACTATTCAACCCTCAGCCACCTTCCCTGACCCCCTGGGCTGCGGGCAGCTCCCTCCCTCGATGCTGTACTCGGATTTGGGCTCACTGTGGCTGCAAGGCCCTGGGTATTTTTATTGAGGCTAAAGATTTGAGGTGAAAGAATTTCCTGGCAGCAGGACATCACGTGTCAAGTATTGGATTTACTGGTGATTTAAGCTATAGCAGCCCTTGTCTGTAATTACTGTTTAAATGTATGAAGCATTTTAGAGAAATTGAGTATCTACATTAGAAAGTATTATATCTGTATTACAAAAGGACTTTCACTTTGGAAATACTGGACTTATAAAGAAAGTACCATAATCAATAATATTATTGATTGAATGATTGATCAGTTCATTGTATACTTAAAACATGATTCCAATAATCACATTTGACTCACAATTTTGTAGTGACATGTATAATGCGTTTTGTAAGAGGACAAAGTTGTCTGGTAGAAGTTACAGTAAAAAACAAGAAAGCAAGCTTCTAGGTATAACCAGTGTCTGATGTTAGGGGAGCCTCAAGCCAGGAGGAAAAGTCCAGGGCAGGTACAAGAGAGGTATCCAAGAAAATATGAACTACCAGGGGTAAGCAGAACTTAATT